GTATTTCATTTGACCTGGAGAGACAGGCCAGGCTGTTTTAATCATCCAAGACTGAAAATTAACTGCACTGCACTAGCAGATCTTGTAGTTATCAGCTTGCTTTTCTGGCCCATCCCTCTGAGCCACATCGCAGCACTTCTTCTTCAGTCGCATGTGCCAAGGCTGCATTTCTAATTTGAAAGGGAAAGGTCAGTTGAAACACAAGGCACAGTCAAGCTTTCCCATCACAGCCTCTATGTCAGCTGAGAGGACCAAATTGTGTGCAAATACAACTTTTAATTCAACCTGACGTTGTCGATGCTGATAAAGTCCAAGGCACTTGGGATCTGGTTTACCTTTCTCAGAACTAGGACAAGTAGAATAAAGAGCAATTTCCACTTGATACGCATGAGACAGGACAGCACCTAAGTCCCATTCTTGGGTGTCGGGTTCATGAAGTCTTAGGTTTGTGTATTTCAGTTTGCATTATTTCATTTCCAGACCAACTGAAGAGGTCAGAGGAGGAGAAACTCGCCCTGGTGGCCAAAGTACAGCAGCTGCAGAGTAAGTTCCCTTTCTAGATCTTCAAGTAGCACAGCTGGCTCTTTGGTGCTCCGGGGGAGGGGGGAGGGTCCTGCCACACAAAGGGCTTTGGGGCCCAGTCTTGGACATATCTTCTACTTTCGTGCATTTTCAAACCTTCTTGGGAAGTGAGAGGTCATTTACATAACTCTTCACAAGTTAATATTAGCCTGGTGTTTTTCTTTTCTATTTTTCTCCTTTGATGCCAATGACAACCACCTGAATTTCCCCCAGAATTGCCATTTCCCTCGGTTTTCAGATTTAAAAAAACAGGTTTTCTAAGCCAGTTATTTCATACATTGTAACTTATTACATACGTGAGTATGTCATATAGACTTCTGTCACTAGGAATAGTTCAGAAAATCAGCTCAACACTACATATGCCTCAGTCCATTTCAAAACTATCTGTTGGGGCCAAAGAGGAAAAGGGAATATTGGCCATTGCTGAAAACCTGGAGAACCTAATTCAATTAATAACTCGGCAGGCTGCCCAGCACCTTAATTTCTGCCACCCCAACAGAGAAGTTTTGTGCAACGAATATTAAAAGAGAAAGGCAACCAGCAGTAAATGCTGAGCACTACTAATACCTTCTTACAGAGCAGGAGCTGGGTGGACAAGGAGTCACTTCAAAACCTTGCATTTATTTAATACTTATCTACTGAGTCCCTACCAAGCACCAGGCACTTTAGACATCCACACTGAGGATATAGTGCTGAACAGAACTGACACAGTTTCTTCCCTAATGAAGCCTAAGCTCTATAAAAAGTATGGAGTTTCTATGAACAAATGTGTGAGGTAGTAATAACTGCTATGGAGAAAAATAAAGCAGATTAAAGGGAAAACAGTTGCTGTTTCATACAGGGTCATCTGGTAAAGTCTTTCTTCTAAGGTAACATTTAAGCAGAGACTTGAAGGTAAAGACATGGAAGGAAAAGACATAAGGACAATGTATTCATAACAAAATACCATACAATGAGTGACTTTAAAAAACAGAAATTTATTTTGTTCTGGAAGCTAGAGGTCCAAGGTCAAGGTGTTGCCAGGGCTGGTTCCTTCTGAGGGCTTTGAGGATAGGATCTGTTCCAGGCCACTTTTCCTGGCTTGCAGATTGCCTTCTTTGCCCTATGTTTCTTCTTATGTCTTCTGTCTATGCAGGTCTGTGTTGAAATGTCCCCTTCTTACAAGGACACCAGTCATATGAGATTAGGGTCCATTCTGATGTCCTAAAATTCTTGATTTTTCTCTGTAAAGAACCCAACTCCAAATAAGGTCACATTCTGAGGTACTAGGAGTTAGGAACCCCCTCCCGCCCCATGAACTTGAGGGTACACAATTCAACCAATGACAGATGGGAACATCTTGAATAATTAAGGTTTGTAGCAAAGTTCTAAAAAGACACTGTTTACAGTCAATATGCTAGTACAGACAAGTTCCTTGTGTTTTCCCGCAGGTCTGCTTCAGGATCAATCCTTACAGCTTCAAGAACAGGAGAAACTCTTAACAAAGAAAGGTCAGCAAATTTGCTTCCACAAATTCTAAGATACTGGTGGTTCCTTGCCTGCCTAGAGGCAGAGGGATGGACTACATGACCTCCTGGCGTCCCATGCAGTTCTAGGAATCTGTCAGGTCAGGGATCTAGCGGAGCTTTTTAAGGACTGATCATTGGTTTTGAGAACACTCCAACTAGTTAGTGTTAACCTGAGAGGTACATAAACTGTGAAAAGAATTTCTACTCTCTCTGAAAACATGTCTGTGTTAAACATTTCAATAAATTGATTTTGAACTCAGTATTTAATGTCAATTTTTACACTTGACTTTCCAAAACACCTCCGCACCATGCTGCACGCAACAGTCACCTCATTCTTAGCTCTCAAGAGTCTACCACCTTAACTCCCTGAGAAGGATTCATCATGCATCTGGGGGGTGGGGGGCAAAGGTTCCTCATGGATCCACTCCAAGTGGGGTTTTGTTTCCTCTTCACAATCACCACGTAAAATATAAGGCAGAAAGTATTACACCCACATAACACAAGCAAGAAAATGAAAGTCTATGGTCATAAAAATTAAGGATGCAGCTAAGACAACAATCTAAAATTTCTGACTCCTAGTTCAGTGCTCTCTTCACCAACACTAAGACAGCCACATAACTCAGAAACCATCCTTAACCACAGGAAGATGAATTCTATATGACAGCCATTCTCATTGTTCTGTTCTTATTTCAAGAACAGAAAGGGAAAGGGGTTAGTTCTATTGAAGCGTCCAGCAAACCTACCCCAGAAATACAACAAAAAAAACTGGATTAGTAAGTATTCTCTAGAAATATCTGCCATTATACGGGACTAGGGATACAAAGGAAAGTAAAAGGCCAACCTTGCGGCTCAAATTCCAGCTCTGTGTCAAGGCTGAGCAGGGTCCCAATGGGATAAAGTCAGAAAATTCTACTCCATGCAGTCTAGTCAGGGACAGGACCTCCCTCATTCCCTCCCTTCTCTTCCCCTCCCTCCAGACTTCTCTCAGTGATAGGGCCCTTCCTCAGAGGTGTGGACCACAGTATCACTGAGAATCTGGCTGCTTTTTTAGATCAGGCTTTGCCTGTGTGGAATCCAAAGCCCTCCCATAAGGAAGTGGAACCTGAGGGTACAGGGAAGGAGAAAGAATGGGATTTCAGAGACCAGCTGCAAAAGAAGACTTTGCAGCTCCAGGCCAAGGAAAAGGAGGTGAGACGGTGACCTCAAGACAGTGAGAGGCTCACACCACAATGGTAGGCAAAACTGCTGGGAGACAGCCCCAGGGAGCAGAGATTTCCAAGTTTAAATTGTGACTGGATGCCAGCAGGTATTCATTTATTTTTATAAAGATAAAATGTCTTTGTTTTCAGGCTAACTTGTCAATCTTTTTCCTTCTTCATTCATACAGACCATTATGCAAGGTTTTATTAAATAGTTACCTTTTGTAAAGTCAGCCTAAACTCAAACACATTTAATAAACATATTAACTCCTCAAACTTTGTCCTACATAGAGTTATCTTAAAACTTTACATGGTGTCTTTTAAGTAACAAACTCTTTCCATCTACATACTCAGAAACCTATGGAAGTATCCACATGCAACTCAACTAGGTCCTGATGAAGACGCTTGTCCTAAGACCACACCCAGGCCTTTTGTGCTATAAGAACTTCATCTTTTGGTGTCCCCATTTACAGAGTACTTGCACATACTCAATCACATGAAAGCACTGACATGCACAATATATAATATTATCTTACCCATTATAATCAATCATTTAAATGAACACGTTCCAGGCAAATGAAGTAAGACAGCCAGAAGACAAACTAAAATCTCTGAGTAAAGGCTGGGACGGGAGGATGGTGGTAAAAATTCCAAATGAAGGGGTAACTCACATAGGGCCCTCTCCCTGACCTGGGCTCTGTCCCAGAATAAACTGGTGGTGATGATGTTGGTGGTATTCTCCCTCCAGTGCAAGGAACTGCATTTGGAGTTAGACAACCTCAGTGACGAGTACCTCTCCTGCCTGCGTAAGCTGCAGCACTGTCGAGAAGAGCTGAACCAGAGCCCACGGCCGCCTCCCAGAGTAAGAGGGTCTATCCTCCCGTATCACCCTGAATGATGGTGGGAAAGGTCTCCCTTTAGCCAAATCTTGCAGACAGTTTATCAGCCCATACCAACGTCAGGCTAGCCTGTTCCATTCAGCTTGGTTTATATACTTGAGTATAACAAGTGTCAGGAAACACTTGCTCGTGCATCCAAGCCTAATTTTCATGGAACTCTTGAGCCTAAAGGGAGAGACCTACTATTAGCTAAAGTATGAAATGGTGTGCTTTTAGCCTATTATGAGCTAGTGGTGAGAGAAGAAGAGCAAAACTACTACGGAATATGAATAGAGAATAATATAATTTTGCTGTGTTATTTTCCATCCTTGATTACTCTAACCAGTATTTAAGTATCTGGCTGTCACTGGGTATGGTTCCCTAGGCCAGTGATCCTGGCTTAGGGACCAGTGACCAGCAGTAAAGTGGTCTTATCCCAAAGGAAGTGACCAAGTGAGAGAGACAGTGATATAAAAAGATTTTTTCTCCTTTACTGACCCAAGGTTTTCCACTGGGCTGGAATGGGAAGAAGGAGGATTATTTTTGTCTGTATCTTCTCCAAACAACCCATGGCCTCTTTCTCTTTCTCTCCTTCCCTTCTCACAGAGGCAATGTGGCCAATGGCTCTCAATGCTGATGATAATGATTGCTATAGCACTGGCAGTGTTCCTGGCCAACAAAGACAGCCTGATGATCTGAATCACCTAGGACAACTGCTTGGGTGAAAATTTGAAGCAAGAAACTCAAAAAACTCCAAATGTTTACATACTTTAAAGTGTGGGTTTTCCCACAGAGATTTCTGACTTTGTTATTATTTTTTTAACCTACTGTAAAATAAACTTCACCTTACAGTTTCTGTTCCTCTGAACTCATAGTTTACCCCTGAATGACACATCACATCACAAAACATAAGACAATAGAGCATCCTGGTCTACTCTCCCTAGTCCAATTCAGTTGGTGGTATATAAACATGCAGTAAAACTTACCTAGTCCTCTACGTTCTGGCAGACATTACCCACTAGAGCAGGTATATTTACAACCACCACACAAGAATAGACTACTTGACTTCCACCACCCTTCTCCACAATCTTTCTTCTATCCCCTATCCAGTGAAAAATGAACAGACATCTCAGCTCAGTCAAGAGGACTCCCTAGTATAGAAATGGCATAGATGTATAGCCAATGCCACTACCACCTATTCCCATGCCCACTGAGATGTGAACAACTGATAACAGAAATTTTCCCTAGTTTTCTCAAGATGCTCAGAAGTGGTCATTGAGACACTATTCCTAACACAGAGCTGATCACTTACTGAGTATCTTCTACATGAGAGAGGAGTTGAAGTCAGAGAGCCACAGCTGGCAGTGTGACTATCTCAGAGGAGATACTCAAGTCAGTGAAGTCATTCTGAGTCCTACATCGAGTTCTAAGGTCCTTCTCCCAAGTGTTTAGAATCTCCCTCAGGGCTGGGAGCAAGCTGTCTGGGACACTAAAGGAATAGAGCAAGACTGGGGAGTGACCAAGCAGCCACGAGATCCGGGCAGTGAAAACCCGTAGTGGGGTCAGGGCTAAGCAGTTGTCCTCTCCCTGGTCCAGATGAAAGGTATATGGAACAGGATAGCCCAGGAGGATCCCAAACACAGTACAGAGATTCCAATCTGAAGAATGAAGTCTGCTATAGGAGACTTCCACGGACAGGTCCCTCTGTAGCCCTTGCAAATGTGTGATGATCTCAACCATTACAGCCTTCAAATCCTGAAGCTGGTCCAGGGAGCAAATAGAAGGGTGAGGTTGGGAGCTGGAAACATCCACAAAAGCTATGGCACCAAGCAGGACCCGCTCCAAGTGCTGACATACGTGCTCAGGACTGACAATCAGGCTGTTTTCTCCAATCTCAAGGATGTGAAGTCCCTGGGTCAGGAAGCCCAAGCCCTGCAACTCCTCCAGATAGCTCTGGAGCTCTGATGTTCCTGCACAATTGCAATCATAGAGCAGGGCTGGCTTCAGTCCCCGGGCCACAGCCAGCACCTCTCCAGCTAGGTGAAGGCAGACGGCTGGGGGTGGGCTCCGTCTCTTTCCCATGCCCAGGGTCCGCTGAGCCGCTGCCACCAGCATCTGAGGACTTGGTGTTGACATGGGATCTGGAAGCAACATCAAGCATGGCCTCCTTACCTAGCCGTAGTTCCCTCCCCTGGACCGCATCTGCAAGCTCCAGTTATTTGAGGAAGGGCCTACAAACAAAGCAGTAGCAGGGGACTGTTAACATCAGCTTGTGACACACCAGGAAACCTGCCAACAGCTTTTCCCTAAGTTTTACAGCATCTTCCAAATTATCATTTTGTCCCTCCCTCTGCTCTGAAATGCTAATACAGAGCAGGCAAGATGGGATCACCAATCCTCCCTCATTTCTATGGCTGAGTTAGTCTCCCTTAGTCCCATATTCATGTGTCTTTTCAGGCCTCACGGCTAGATTTATATTCTCTCTGATTTCTCATAAATTTTACCTGTTGTAAATTACCTTCTTGGATTCAAACTTTAAGGAGTTTGGGCCAGAGACACGGCAGGGCTGTCTTTGGCAAAGTTCCGGGCACTTCACCTAAAATTCCACTTCACCTAAAATTCCACTTCTGAGATAAAGTTCTAGGTTCCAAATGCCCTCTTTCCGTTGCCAGCTTCCTCTTACCCTCTCGCCAATAACTAGGAATAGCGGTCTGATTAAACTAAAATACACAAGAACGTGGACTTACAACCACTGCACCCTGAGACGTAAGAGTAAATAAATAAAACCTGTTAGAACTGCAGGAGGGCTGTATTTTACTTCTGCGGGCCCCGCCTTCCCCTTCCGGCCGAAGTCGACGGTCGGACCCTCCAAAGATGGGCTACCTCCAATCCCCACATCTTGTCCTGGGCATACTATAGTGATTTGTTAAATGAGGCAGGTCTCTCTCACACACGTACGTTCTGCTTCCACTTCCGCTGCAGGCTCGCGCGCTCAGAAACGCCTTCCAGTTTCGCACGAACTGCTGAGAACACGCCGAGGACCGTGCGCTCCGCCGCAACACGGGAAAACCCCTTCAACGCGCTGGATTCCGAGTCTGCGAAACCGGCCTATTGCGCATGCCCGACACAAGCCCTCCCGCCGCTTTCCGTGACGTCATCCATTCCCCTCCGCGCGCCCGCGCGTTAGAACCTCTGGCAAAGCTGTGCCGGAAGTGGGGGCGCCTGCGCCCAGGCCCTTTCCGGCCAGACAGAAGCCGGCCCCGCCCCTCTGAGTAGGAACGGGGAGAGGGGGAAATGCACGAAAGTGGGACGTATTGAAACTGGTAGCTGCTGTCCTCACGTGGCTTTGAGTCGTGCCCTGCTGTTGTGTTCCTCTGTCTGGGAGGCCTGAGGAGGACACGCAGCGCAATCATCCTTTGATTTGTGTCTGGAGAAATGCGCTTCCCCCTCCGAATGGGGCTTATCCCGTGACAAGCGACATGTTTTGCACTTTACCTGTTAGCGCTGCAAAGTTTGTTGTCTACTGTGACCTCCCTAAATCCTAAATTTGAGAGGCTGAATTCCTAGAAGTGGCTGCACAAGTGCTGTCCTGCCCAAGTTTTGTCATCTCTAAGCAGGGTGTGAAGGGCATGAGTATTACTCACCCTGAACAAAGGTGCGTCAGGCTGGAGTCTAGGCGCTGGTGCTATTACAATGTACAAAATAGACCAAAAAACCCCACCTTCACGGAGCTCAAGTTGGAGGAATTCAGTTTCCTGACTTCACTTAAATGAGCAGAGATGCAGGGGCTCTTCCATCTGCTCAGTAAGAAAAAAGGGTGATTTCACTGAAGTATTCACGCTTCTAACTGCCAGCTAAGAATTTCTTGAGAAAGCTCATCTGAGGCAATGGCCCAGACTTGTTGCTACATGGGCAGGACAGACGCAGAGGGAACGACACTTGAGGTTCCCCTCCTGGCCCTACCCTGGCGGTGTTTTCAGACGGCGAAGAGAGGCAACTGTGGAATAAAGATGTGGCCCGCCAACATGTAGGAACCCCAAGGCTAACACTGGTCCTTAGCTCAGAGGGAGTCAGAAACAGAGACTAGAAACTATTTTGAGGATTTTTCCTTCGCCATATTTATTTTCTTTTCCATGGTGGTTAGCAGTAAATCTGTAAAATGAAAGACTTCCTTAGTTCATTTATTCTCACGACAAATACAGTTGAGCCTTGAACAACCCAGGTTTTAGGGGGTGCCCTGCACAGTAGAAATTATGCATATAACTTCTGACTCCCCCAAAGCTTTACAAATAGCCTACTATTGACCAGAAGCCTTTCTGAAAATAAAATCCATTAACATACTTTTGTAATAGCAACAAGTATTATATACTGTATTCTTACAATAAAGCTAGAGGGAAAAAATGCTAAAAAAAAAAAAACCAGGAGAAAATACATTTATAGTACTGTACTATATTTATCAAAAAACAATCTGAGTATAAGTGGGCCTATGCAGTTCAAACTTGTGTTGTTCAAGGATCAGTTATATCTGAGAACATACTATGTACCAGGCACTGGCAACAAAGTCCAAGACAGTCCCTACTTTCAGCAATTTTGTAATCAAGCAGGACACAGATGCTGAGCAATTACAAGGAACGAATTATTCTGCAAAACGAAGTATAGGATGATATGGGAACATAAAACCAGATACCTAATTATTATACAGGGAAGGGACAAGGCCCAGATCCAATACTCGCTCCCTCAATTTACCAATAGTGTTGTGTTTTGTTTTGTTTTTAACTTTGAGCTAACCTAGTTTGGTGTGGTGGACAGTGAATAAAAAGAAGAGCTGGTGACACCATCTAATTCCCTTTCCACTCTTGAGCAATGTGGACGCAAGAAAGTAGAACAAGAGTGTGGTGTCGCCACCAAAGGAGATAACAGACTCTCCAAGAAAGGACACCTGGTATCTATCCATCGAGACCAGAGAAGGAGCACTGAGGGAGATCAGTGGACAGCCCTACACACTCTCTCCGAGCATTCTGAAAACAACAGAAAACACGGAAGAAACCAGGCTCTCTCATTAAGACCACGTAGAACCACTCAACCATTCCTCTGACATGTTGATAAATTTTTTATTACAGTCACATACTAGAAGTTTGATCCTTCTCGGCCTTTCAGAACACAATTTTCAACCTTCTGCCAGCTCACATTATCTGGGTCCCCAGCCAGATGGACAGACTGGCTATTAGCCTCTCGCAGAATAAGGGAAAAGGACTACCCAGATCTAGCAGTTGCCCTCTCGGTTTACCTGTGATGGGTTCTTTTTAACTTTGAGCTGGCCAGGTACAGACAGAGACAGCCAGACACCAAGACCAAATCCTTCACGTCACCCACTCAACAAAATGATCAAAAAATATAAAGGTTCTATACCTTGCATCTTTTCTAGTTTCTAGAAGCCCAACTTCTGCTCACAGCTGAGCACCTGATGTTTACCCAGACTTCTCTCAGTCATACTTTAATAACAGCAGATCCCACTAGGTCCCTTAGAGACCCTAAAACCACAGCTTCAGCATTCTAAAGAAGTCCTACAGCCACCTGTGACTGAATTGAGCCTTTGGCTTTTGAAGCTGCCTGACTTTTCAGCTAGCTCCACTTCAGTAGCAAGTAGGGGATGGCCTAGTTTAAGGGCAGCACACTAGACATTGGTTTTCTTATTATGGCCTGGCAGATAGGCATCAGTATTCAAGAGGATTAGGGGCCTGCAACAAGAGATTAACATCTTGTTTTCCAGTTAGGTTTTGGAGTTTCAATTATGCTTGTCTTAAAAGAAAAAAAGGTTACAGGTAGGACAGAAAGGTCAGGGATGAAGCAAAAGTTAACAGATAAGACCAGTCTGTGGCAGCCATCTGCAGTGTTCTACACCACTCTTCACCTGAGTTGTTCACACCCAGCTACCTCCACAAGATGGGAGACAAGCAGGTTAGGGCCAGGTGAACCTTCTGCAGAAGAGCACTGCCCAGTCCTTTTTCACTTTGGCCTTAAAACTGAATACTCCATTTTCCCAACAGCAAAACATCCAAAAGGTAGTAAGACTGTAAAAGTTCCCAAACAAGAAGTGTCCCTGTTGTAGTCACGAGTTTGTCATGCCCAGCTCACTCCCAGGTCTTCCTTAAAGAAAAAAAGGAAAAAGAGCTCTATCTTCTCTGAAGAGTACCACTGAGTCATATACTCTCATCTACCATACACATACACAGTGTTATTTGAATGGTGGCAAGGTAGACACCTGACAGCCAATTGTGCAGAATCCTTAGGCCTTCCGTTGACAGATTCCCTTTAGAATCTCAGTTTATTAGCCTTTACTCCACAGACCAGGTGACTTTCAGACTTTGGCACCTATTTCTATTTAGATATCAAGCATGGTTCCTAAGCAACCAGCCAGTTCCCCTACCTCTCTTATCCCGTCAGGGAGCCAGCTTACTATACTAGCAGAACAGGTCAAACGGTGATCAATCTTGGACAAATCAGTGCTTGAGGGAACTTTAATAAAAGCAAAAAAAAAAAAAAAATGTGCTAGAACAATGCAGAAGGGTCTGTCCCAGGCAGTTTTGCCTTGTACAAGTAGAATGAAGTCATCAGGCCAGAGTTTTAAAGCTGCTGGTATTTCAGGCATTGTTCTACCCCTTCACTTTACAGTAATGAATCTGAAGCCTAGAGATTAAATAGCTCAATAGCTTAAGGTCATACCACTGAAGCAGAGTTGCAAAGAAGGCTGGTGTCCAAACTCCTAGACCAAATCTCCTCCTACACTAACATGGGGAGGATTAAAAAAGAAAGGGGAAATATGAAGGGTGATTTTTCCATAAATTAAATCAACTTTAAAAGCCAAGTATATGTGGAGAGTTGGAGACCACTAACATTGTAAGAAAGGAGAGGTTTAAGAGCTGGTTAAATCTGAATAAAAAATATTCATATGTACAACACTGTAAAAAAAAAAAAAAGATGGCATTCATGATTACTGGGCGGGCAGGGCAGGAGGGAGTTGCATGCTGGGGGTAGGCTGCATGGGCTGCCAGCTCTCCTGGGTTTGGAGGATGCGGTACAGCTGTTTCAGCTGAGCAACGATGTTATCTTTGATGTCTGGAGTTGAGATCTGCAGGCGGACACTGCCACTGTCAAAGGACCGTGTAAAATCACCAGAAAACATCTCGTAGATCATCCGAGCCACCACTGGAATGACCTGTTCAGAACACAGAGCACACAATTATCTGGTGAAGGAAAGGAATTTTTAAAATAGCAAGAGGGGGTGCCTGGGTGGCTCAGTCAGTTAAGTGTCCGACTCTTGTCTGGCTCAGGTCATGATCTCGCAGTTTGTGAGTTTGAGCCCCGCATCAGGCTCTGCACTGGCAGTGCAAAGCCTGCTTGGGGTTCTCTCTCTTCTCTCTCTCTCTGCCCCTTCCCCACTTTCTCTCTCTCCTACTCCCTCTCTGCCCCTCCCCCACTTTCTCTCTCTCTCTTTCAAAAATAAATAAATAAACTTAAATAAATAGATAGATGGCAGGAGGGACTCAAGATTGAAGGAAGGACCAGTGAGGCCCTGGAGAAGCCCCAACTCTAATGTCTAGATACACGGTATGTCTTCAATCTCCCTGGACCATCCTGCCAAGATTCACTGTAGAAGATAAAAACAAACAAAAATAAAAAACCTGTATGTATCATCACATCATATGCCTAAGCAAACAGTTGCTTATTTGGCAAGACTTTTACTCAAATTTTATCTGTCGCCTATTTTTTTGTATAAATCCAGGGACTAAACCCAAGTGGTCTCGGTGCCCACTTACTCGAATAAGGTTACATTCTTAAAAGTAGCTTAAAAGGTTTTACTAAGGGGCGCCTGGGTGGCTCAGTCAGTTGAACGCCTGACTTTGGCTCAGGTCATTATCTCATGGTTCATGAGTTCAAGCCCCATGTCCGACTCTGTCCTGACAGCTCAGAGCCTGGAGCCTACTTCAGATTCTGTTTCTCCCTTTCTCTCTGCCTGCCCCCACCTCTCTCAAATAAATAAACATTTAAAAAAATTATTTGAAAAAGGCTCTCTAAAAGAGATGGAAAGG